AACCCAATTATAGCCCAAGAATATGGAGAAAGGGGAGAGGGAGGGGAGGGGAGGATGGGTGGAGGAAGAGTAGTTGGTGGGACCACACCTAGGGTGCATCTTACAAAGGTATATGTGAAATTTACTAGGTGTAGAATACAAATGTCTTAACACAATAACTAAGAAAATACCGTGAAGGCTATGTTGACCAGTTTGATGAAAGCATTTCAGATTGGGTGTAAAACCAGCACATTGTACCCCATGATTGCATTAATGTACACAGCTATTATTTAATAATAAATAAATAAATAAATAAAGTTAAAAAAAACTAAGTAAAAAAAATTTAAAGCATTTGTTAGTTGAGAAACATAAAATGCCTCTTGTAAAAAAATGTAATAATAACATTTAATCACTACCTGATATTTATATATTTATATATTTATTTTTCTCTTGCCTACTATAACAAATTATTTGAAATTATTATTTGTTTTGTTCAATACAGTATGATCAGCATCTAGAATAGTGGTCTCAACCTTCCTAATGATGTGGCCCTTTAATACAGTTCCTGTGGGTCGTGCCCCACAGGTTGAGAACCACTGATCTAGAAAAATGCCTGGTTCTTAGCAGACTCTCAAGAAATATTCTTTTAATGAATAAATAAATGTATGGAAAAATAATAAAGTAAGGTCAATATAGTTGACCCTTGAACAAACATGGCTTTGAACTGCTAAGTTCACATATATGTGAATATTTTCCTTCCTCTGCCATTCCTGAGACAGCAAGACTGAAACTAGGCCCAACAGAGTTAAAATGATCTAGCAACCAGTAAACTTTCTTAAGTGCCATAGCAAAAAGAAAACAGTTTATTACAATCCCATTGCAACAAATAGACTGATAGGCTAAGACTGATTAGGATCCATACAGCTGGCTGGGGCTAGGCAGAATAGACTTACTCACTGATAAGTGACTTTTTGACATCAGAGGGCTAAAAACTCCACCCTCAGATCATGCTAACATTGACATTTTCTGAATATGTGACCTATGAAGAAGCATGTAGGGTCAAAAACAACCCTTTCCTTCTAGCCAATCATTCTCCAGTCCTGAAATCCTGCTTTTTCAAACTCTCACCCTTAAATCTACAGCTACACAGGAAGTATAGGGAAACAGATTTGAACCTGACTCCCATCTTCCTATTTCACTGCCTGGCAATAAAATTTTCTCACTGCAAAAACCCAGTGCTTTGGCATTTGGCTTTCCATTGGGCAAATGAACCCAATTAGGTTCAGGAACAAGACCAACTCTTCTTCCTCGTTCTACTGCATGAAAGCAGAAGACCTTTATTATGATCCACTTCCATTTAATGCACAGTAAATATATTTTATCTTTGTTCCTTAGCATTTTCTTTTCTCTAGCTTACTTTATTATAAGAATATAGCTATCATGTATATATGTATAAATAAACATAATAATATGTGTTAATTGACCATTTTCATTATTGGTAAGGCTTCCAGTCAGCAGTGGGTTACTAGCACTTAAATTTGGGGGGGGGGTTGAAAAGTTATACTCAGGTTTTCCACGGCATGAGGGTCAGCATCCCCAAACCCCATTCTGTTCAAGGGTCAACTTGACTATAAAATATTTTTACAATATTTATCGAAAAAGGTTAAAATTAAGAGTTTTAATACTTAAATAAGATTCATTTATCTAAAAAATTGTTATGAAATACCATATTTTCCCTGTTATTTCCCATGACTGTGGCATTACTAAGTAGAACCCAGATGTTACCCAGGCAATTTTCAACAGGATTAGACTACAAAGAACTGGTTTCATTTTCTTTCATCTCACCGGAAATTGTAAAATATCTTAAACTTCCGTAATAAATAGTAAAATCTTCTTTCTGATAGCCATTCTGGAACAGGTACAAGTTCTACTTCCTCTGTATCATCACCTATTTTAATAACCTACAAATATAAAGCAAAAAAGTATGATTTTATTTCTTTTAAAAATATGTACTATTTTCAAGAAACTAAAAAAGCCTATATTTGACTCATAATTTCTTGCCTTCATAATGAAGCTTTTTCTACATCTGAAACCCTCAACCACTTTACCTATACTCAAATTTGTTTCCCTTAAACATACTGTTTCTATACTTGCCATTTTCTAATGCTATTTCTTGCACTCCCACAAAGAGAAGATAAGAAAAACCTCCTCCTCATCCTGAGATATTTTCACAAATACCTGCTGAAATTTTGTCTCATAATTTCCACATTTTCTATAAAAGTAATGTTTATGAACATAATTTTAGCTACATTTCTGTATACTTTTATAGAAAGTACTTCTGTATACTTTTATAGAAAGTAACAGATTATATGTACGGATTGTAAAGGGCTTGAAAGTCCAAGGTGGCTTATAATCCCACTACCAAATCCCTTACTTTGACATTCAAAAAATACATGCCTTTCCTCAAAGAATTCTCTCTTCCCTCAAATTCCTCTCCCTCATCCAAATGTTAACATTTTAAAAACATTTCTACTAGAGATAAAAGTATGCCTATATCAGCACATATGTGTCTATTTGTATGTTTTATTTATAGAGCAGTTGTCCTTCCTTTCTTATGTGATATTGCACATTAGAAACATTTCCACATCTGCACATACAGAACTACTTCATACAGATGTGTTTTTTTCCCAGGCACACTTAAGAGTTTATTATAGTTGGGAGGCCCGGAAAGCAGAGAAAGGCAGATAGACATTAAAAAAAAAAAAATGGTCAAAACAAGAATTGAGTAATTTATTTCAACTTGTGATAAATATCAAAGAGCTATATAAAAGTATAATAGGAGAATTTCTACACTTTACAGTGAAGTTTCTGACAAATGTGCTAATGAAGATCATCCTTTTCTTTATTATTATGATTCCTATTATGCCAGCAAATGCCCTTTCTTTAAAAAAAAAGTATACCAAATATTAATAAAGTATTTGAGACGTGAAAAAATTCTTAAAATTGAATCCTCAAACCTAAATTTCTACAAAGAAAAAGTCACAAGCAAGGAACAAACAGAAAAAAAAAAAGAAAGAAAAGAAAAAATGTCACTATTCAATAGCTTTTTCAAGGAGAAATCTTATACCCAAATTCTTCCTCAAATGACCAGGTATCTCTGAAATAGATTAATTTATGCAATTAAGATATAAATTGGATAATATTTTTCTATTATAATTCCAAAAGCTGATATTACCTTTGATATAAATGAAGCAGTAGTAATCCAATATTCTTTACAACGTTTAGCTTTATGGGGAGAGACTACCTGAAGATCATATGGATTGTAAAGGGCTTTAGAATTATTCCGAGGAAGGCAATATACAAATTCTCCATCATCTTTCAGACATTTCTGAGATTAAACAATTTTAATTAGACTAAATTAACTATTAAAATGGCTAAAAAGATTACTGATAAATTAAAATAATTTTAATATAGATTAAAAATAAGAACAACATCATTAAGGAAGGCTAATACCAAAATGTGTCTATAATCAAAATTTAACAAGATCTTATGGAAGATTTAATATATTCAAATATATAACATGATGTGGTAATAAAAAATTCAGAAAAATTTACCTGTATGTTTACTAACACTTACTAGTAAGCATTGGCTAACCCAAAAAACTTGACAACACACCTTTTACATATATGCCACCTTCCAGTAAATTTGTCTGCCAAAACCAGAAACCTTTTGGGCATATCAAATTTATTTATTTTGACAATGATGGTGGTAATAATAGGTAATATTTGTTAAATAAACAAAAATATTTAATATTTGGTTCACATACATTATCTTTATAATCATAAGTTTAAACTCTTAAATTTATAAGAACTAAGGTTTGATCTTCTTAATCTCATTGAACAGATACAGAAATTAATATTTTGATAATTAGGGAAGTAAAAAAATTCAGGACATAGCAAAGTAGGTATTTGAAACCAAGTGTGATTCCCATGTTCTGTGCTATTGAAATAAACAGTAGTGCCTCTCCTACACTTACTTGGCATTATTGAGAAAATTTTTAGAGTTAAAAGTTTCTTGAAGCTTTTATTGATAAGCACTATTCTAAAATCATAAGGAAGTTTAAGTTTTTTCTGGATAATTTTATTTGTTAAGAAGCATTTGATATTTACTGTAGTTTTATATTTGGATACAGTTCTAAAGTGTTTTAAATTTTGTCTTCCTTGATGATTATTTGTTTCTTCACAATTTTTTTAGCTGTTTTACTTTCTTATTTTGGCTTCTGATATAATCTATGTGAAGAAACCTTCAAAAACATGTTTAAAAACTGCAAATAGTAAGAAACGACCCCTGAGTGATGATTTGCACACTCAGCTTTGTTATAGTTATCTGGCCGCTTGACTCATTTTTGTTCTACATTACCTTTCAAAATGTAAAGTTGCTAGGAAACAATGCAGATGCAAATATTCTGAATGGATCATATGTGTAATTGAAAATTCAATTACAGAAGCATAAAAATAATATGTTCCAATTATGTTTTAATTTAAAAATAAGTGTTTTTTCATATTCTCAATCCTTTCTTCACATACAAATGAAACATACTGTATTTGAGTCCAAGGAACCCATGTACATGTCTGTTTTGTTGTTTTTTAACTACTATGCCCCACTACTTGTCAGGTACAATAACACATGTTTTATCTCATTTAATCCTCACACTTCTCTTTTTAGTTCTCTAAGTGTTCTCCAGATTTCTTGCCATTTGATACTACAATTCCACTATTAGGTATATACCCAGAAGATAAAAAATCACATTACAATAAAGATGTTTGTATCAGAATGTTTACTGCAGCACAATTC